AGGAGCAGAGGATCCCCTCCCACTTCTTCAAGGATCCTGAGTTCGCTGCGCAGTACGAGAGGCTGCGCGTGCTCGTCGATTGGTCCAAGCTCGGGGTGTATGCGACGAGGCGGCGGCACAAGGAGCTGATGAGGGAGGCTGCGAAGTACGTGAGGGATCTGCGATGCCGCAACCCGAAAGGCGAGACGAAGCTGATGGTCTTTCGCTCGATGTCTCGAGCGGTCTGGCGGGATGATGTCGAGTTGGGACAGAGGCTTCTCTTGACGTGTGAGATCGCGCCGACGTACATCTCGGTCTCGAGCGTCCAGGTCTCACTGATCCACCCGCCGTCGTTCGCTAGGGACTTCGCTGAGGCCCAGCGCTTGCACTTCGAGGCTCGAGCGGCTGCCCTCTCGGAGCAGGAGGCGAAGGCGTTCGACCCCAGATCGTTTAAGATGATGAATGCTGCCCGGCGCAAGCTGCGCAGGCGGGAGGCCTTGTGGTCGCCCTTCAATCGCACGCTCAAGTTGCAGGGCATCAAGGTGCCTGACGACGAGGGACACAAGGTGCTGACGGACCAGGTCGACATGGTCGAGGCCCTCCGCGACCACTGGGCTCCGATCTTCCAGGTCAAGCCGAAGGTTCCCAACTGGCAGGTCCTCGCGGACAGGTACATCAAAGAGCACGCGCCACTGCTGGAGGTGGCCGACCTGCTCCCCCCTGATCGGCGGGCGTTGTTGCGAGCTGCTGCTCGTGCCAAGGAGTCGGCGCCTGGGCCTGACGGTCTGCCGTATGCTGCCTGGCGTGCTTGCCCCGCAGCGCTTGCTGCGCTGGAGGACGTGGTCCTGGAGATTGCGTCTGGCAGGCCGCCGCCCATCGACTGGAACGACCACCTGCTCGCCTTCCTCCCGAAGGGTTCGTATGAGGAAGATCTAGTGGAAGGCGCTTTTCGCACGCCGTGCACCACGCGGGCGATTGCGCTCAAGAATGCGGACTGCAAGCTGGTGGCGTCCGCGGTGAATGCGCGGATCAAGGGCCCCATTGAGAAGGCATCGCCTGCCCCCCAGCGGGGCTTCCTGCAGGGCCGCAACTTCCTGGACAACATCTGCCTGCTGGACGCCACTGCGCGGGCTGCGGGGCTGCAGGAGTCGGGCAAGCCCATCATGGCCCTGTTCGACTTTGGCGACGCGTTCCCGTCTCTGATGACCGAATGGATGCTGCTCATGCTGGTCCGCTCGGGGTTCGTCGGAGGCGTTCGGTTTGTGCTGGAGGCGCTCTACTGGCTTCCCACGGCGTACGTGGAGCTCGCGGGCGCGATGGTGCGGTTCGTTTGCGTCTCGTGCGGGCTCGCACAGGGATGTCCGTCTTCTGGGAGTCTTTGGGCCATTGCAATGAACCCGTTCATTCATCACATGATGCAGTACACGGACCGAGACGCCAGTCGCCTCTCCGCCATCGGGGTTTGTGCTGACGACGTCGGGGTGGTGCTGCGATCGCGCCACTTGCTCCGTGGGATGTGGCGGGCCTTCGCTGCTGCGCGGGCGCTCGCGAGCTTGCACCTGAAACTCCACAAATGCGTGCTGATCCCGCTGGAGGCTAAGTTCTCCGACGAGCTCGTCGCAGATCTCAGAGGATGGCTGGCCGAAGCTCTGTGCGAGTGGAGCGGCATGCAGGTGCGCGACCAGGCGGAGTACCTGGGCTTCGTTGTCGGCCCTGGTGCGACACAGCGGGACATCTGGAGGAAGGCGGCCGCAAAGTGGCTCTCCCGCGTCGTGGACATTGCGATGAGTGGTGCGGCCCCGTCGCTTGCTGCTCGGCTTTACAATCGTCGTGCTCTGCCTGTTTTAGGATATCTTCAACAGCTGGCGGCCACCCCGAAGTTGTTGCTGGCCAAAGAAGGGTGGGCGGCCGCCAAGCTGTGGCACATGCCCCCACAGGCGCTGGGCAGGCATGACTTCCTGGCCTTAGGTGCGTGGGCGCCTGGCCTTCGCATCCGCTCACTGCTGGCCACGGGCTGTGCGGCGGCCATGCGATCGGCCCTCTCCACGGTGAGCAACTGGAAGGAGCTGCACGCATGGCTGCAGGCACAGGTCCAGGAC